CATTAATACTGTCTTATAAGCATCTCCACTTACAGGTGAAGAGAGTTAGCATCAGAATCCAAGTAACTGCCAGGCCGCACACCCCGCCCAATAGAAGAACATAAATTATATGGTTATACTAGACTTCAAGGAGAATGAATTGAGAAGCTTATGGTTAATGTTTAACATAGCAGCTGGCTTTATTAAATCAGTGGACCAAATTCAAGCACAAATTTCATGGTATTCTATTGGTGGAAGACCCAATTAACTGATCATAGTTTTTTTTTCTCTACTGGCAGAAAGCCATCCAGTTCAGACAGGGGAAGAAAGAAGTGAGAGCTTCAAACTTGATCCTCAAAATACTTTTCAAGTGCAAACTACCTTTAATGTTCACACTGTTTAAAACAATAACTTTCAAATGACACACTGATCCTGACGAAGGGAGCTGAGGAGGAGGAGGAGGAGGAGGAGGAGATTGGATTTATACCCTGCCCTTCACTACCCAAGGGAGTCTCAGAGCGGCTTACAAACTCCTTTCCCCTCCCCTCCCCACAACAGACACCCTGTGAGGTAGGTGGGGCTGAGAGAGCTCGTGACAGAAACTACTCTTTTATAAGAACAGCTCTTCTAAGAACTATGGCTTGCCCAAAGTCATCCAGCAGGTGCAGGTGGAAGAGTGGGGAATCAAACCCAGTCCTCCCGGAATAGAGTCCGCGCGCTTAACCACTACACCAAACTGGCTCTCTAAGGTGCTACTGGACTCGAATCTAGCAGTTCTACCACACATCAACATGGCTACCCTCTGAAACATTTCTCCCTTGGTAATTATTTACACAGCTAGACAGTTGGACATCCTTCCACTCTGCCCACCCCACACTCACCCCAACCATCAGCTCCCTCTACCAAAAACCTAAAAGTGCAACCAGGAAGAAATTTCACCCCCCAAAAAACAGTTTTTTAAAGGTGATGACATAGCCCAATCATCACAGAGTGCCCAGGGCTCAGTTCTGTACTTTAACGAACAGGCAAGTGATATTCTCTTAATGTATACAAAACCACAACAGCAAAGGCAGGATAACAGATCCAGCATCAGTAATGGATCCTACATAGAAACAAGATATAGAACTACAATGTGAACATGACAGATAAAATTCGACAGGAAAGAGAAAATAAGAGAAAGCGACCCTTTAGTGCTGGTTGGGAGAGCACAGCACATAAACACACACCCCACAATACAGCTTTCTATTCAACAGTTCACACTTCTAGGGCCAGCGGTACAGAGGTACTGTTATTAGGGCAAGGAAGCCCCTACTTGGTCCAGACAAATAAATCAAAGGCAAAATTCAAGTCTGATACGGACTAGAGAAGCCCCATCACTAAATCACAAAACTAAGATACACTCTCAGTTTATAACAAAAGGCACACTCTCAGTTTATGACAAAAGACACAAAGGGAAGCATTTGAACTCCCTTCAGCACTCCTCAATACATACTCCTCTGCCCCAGCAATGCTCTTTTATGCTTATTAAGTAAAGAGTAGTTTCATCCCCACAGCAAAGGAGTCCTGCCAGAATAACGTTTTAGTGGAACTATTACACCCCCGATGCTCCTTAATGGTTCAATAACAACTCAGTACTGAGCTCACGGCTCTGAACAGGTGCCAGTGCTCTGCTGCTGCACCTGCCAGAAAAACAATTTGAAAGCTTCATTGTGCGGGTCTATTCCATTCATTTTTACTTAATTAGCTCCAATCCAAAAGAAAACTAATGGGAATTCCACAAATGACTGAGAGGTTTTCTGCCTGCTCGTGCCAGTAGAAATTCAAGTCAAGTGCTTAATTCCTCTCTCTTGTCATAGCCATGTTTACTTGCAAATAGGTTGGGAGGATGGTTAGATGATATAAACCATGACTGAAGAATGCCTGGATTGCAGGCTGCCCTCTTTCTGCTTGAGGCCACTAACAGTGCAATCCTAAAGACAGTTACTCCAGTCTAAGCCTATTGAAATGAATGGGCTTAGACTGGAGTAACTCTTTTTAGGATTGCACTGGAAATCATCACACCATTCACACATACCTGTGAATAGTAATTCCCCCCCATGAAACAGTAACTCAGTAGATAGTCATTATATCTGTGGTTACGGACACGGTTAAAAGATTACCACCAACCAGAAATATAAAAAGGGAACTTGTGGCACCTTATTAGCTTGATTTTGTGATAACGTGGACAGTAGTTCACAAAACCTTCTAACAAATCTGTTAATCTTTAAGGTGCTAGAAGCCTCCCTTCCAAACTAGCACCATTACCTAAGCAAAAAGAGCCCACAGCCCGGAGGAGACCAACTTTTGGAGGATGGTGAGCTCCTACAGAATAAAGAGGTCCTTTTGCTTTCTGTGCAGCAGCACAATTGGCACAGAAGTCTTCTTTTTTCAGTTACAATGCAGTGTAGCAGTGCCTTTACAGCAGAAACAAATGTGATTTATTTACTTTACTAGGAAAAAGGCTTGTTGTGGAAATAAATAGAAAGAGGCTCTGGGCAGGTGCCCTGGCCTTGGACACTCAGTGTCAATTTGCTGTGGCAACCTCAGCAGGGTATAATGACACTGAGTCCACCATTTTCTCCAGAGGTACTGATCTCTGCTACCTAAAGAACAGTTGTAATTTTGAGTGATCTCCAACCCTCACCTGGAGATTGGACACATTTAACTGTTTAGAATGTTGAGGCAAAAGCCAATCAAGTCGCATATGCAAACGACCTCTGTGTTCCGAGGCAAAGGCCAATGAGGCTGCATATGCAAATAACCTCTGTGTTCTGACTGGCTATGGGGGGAGAGGAACAGCAAACTGTTTAGAATGTTGGAGGCGAGACTCAAGCAATGCAGCCAGTGGATAGGGACAGATTCTGAGTGACACACCAGGGCGCCAACCAATTTCGGAGCGTTTGGAATATTCTAGAGAAGTGCCACCACCATTCGGCTTTTATTTATAAACAGAGGTCATTTCGGGGGGGATCGTGGGGGATTGCAGTTCCCCCGGGTGAGGTAAGGGAGCGGGGCACATGACCAAGCCCCGCCCCCTGCTTCCGGCCACCCCGCTTCTGGCCCTCATTCAGCCAGGAGGAGGCAGGAGAAGAGGGAGGGTAAGTTGCTTCCTCCCTGCCTCTCCCCACCCCTGCCTGCCTGGGGCCAGGGAGAGCCTTCGCGGGGCTTCCTTGCACTCCCACCGGCCTTGCAGGTCCACCGCTGGGCCCCTCATGGGGCTCGGCAGTGGAGCTGCAAGGCCG